CCCGGCCGGGGCGAAGTGTCCCGCCGGGCAGGCTGCCATACAGGCCGTGCCCGACAGGAGAAGGCCGGCCTCGCACGCGGTGCAGGCCGCCTGGCAGGTGCCCTGCTCCTGGCACTCGGCGCACCCGGCCGGGCAGGGCTCGCACCGGCGCGACGCCAGGCACACGAAGTGCCCGGCCGGGCAGGCGTCGACACAGGCCCCACCTGCGAGCAGTGCCGGCGGGGCGCAGGACGTGCAGTGGCCCGGCCCGGGCCCGGTGCAGGTCTCGCAGGCGACATCGCAGGCCCGGCACACCCGGCCGCCGGACTCCTGGGCGGGGTACTCGCCGGGCGGGCAGGAGGCGAGGCAGGCCCCGCCGGGGGTGAGGGCCCGGTCGGGCGGGCAGGCGGTGCACTCGGCCCCCGAGGGCCCGGTGCAGGTGGCACACGTCCCGTGGCAGGGGGCGCACGCCGGGCCACTGGGGAAGGACCCGCCCGGGCAGGCGCCGAGGCAGGCCCCATCCACCAGGAAGGGGCTGCCGGGCGCGCAGGCCAGGCACTCCTGGGCCCCGGGGCCGAAGCAGGCCAGGCAGCTCCCGTGGCAGGTGGTGCACTGGCCGCCCAGGGGCGAGGACCCGGCCGGGCAGCTGGCCACGCATGCCGGCCCGGCCAGCAGCCAGCCCCGGTCGCAAAGCCGGCAGGCGGCCACATCGGCCGGGCAGCTGGCGCAATGGGCGCCGCACTGGGCGCACCCCCCGGGCCCGGTGTTGTACCCGGCCGGGCAGGCGGCCACGCACCGGCCCGGGGTCTGCCCGGCCGGCAGGGCCAGCAGGTCCCCCGGGCAGGCGGTGCACTCGGTGCTCCGGACCCCGGTGCACGCCTCGCAGGAGGCATGGCAGGGCAGGCACCGGCCATTGGCGGCGTGGTGCCTGGCCGCGCACACCTGCACGCACTGGTCCCCCTGCAGCATGGCCCCCTGGCAGCGCCAGCAGTCGCGATCGGTCGGGCCGTTGCACGTGGCGCAGGCCCCGCTGCAGGGCAGGCACGCCTCCGTGGCCAGGTCCAGGTACTGGCCCTGCGGGCAGATGGACTCGCAAGTGCCCCGGGCCTGGTCCACTGGGTGGAACTCCAGCCCGGCGGCGCAGCCGGTGCACTGGTCGGCGCCGTCGCCGGCGCACGTGGCACACGACAGGTCGCACGGCTGGCAGGACTCGCCGTTGCTGTACTCGCCGGCCGGGCAGGCCGTGGCGCATGTGCCATCGCCGGCCAGCAGGAGCCCCGGCTGGCAGGCCAGGCACCGGTCGGCCCCGGTGCACGAGGCGCACCCGGCCGCGCAGGGCACGCACAGCCCGGCGGCCCCGGCGCCCGGGGGGACGGCCCACCGATGCCCGGCCGCGCACACCAGGCACCGGTCGGCCTGGCCGGCGCACAGGTCGCACGAGGCATGGCAGGCGGTGCACCGGTCGGGCCCGGGGAATTCGCCCGGCGCGCAGGCCGCCCCGCAGGGCGCCTCCACCGCCGGGTCCGGGGCCATGAACACCAGCCCCGGCCGGCAGGTGGCGCAGACGCCCGGGCCGGCGCACGAGGCGCACGACCCGTGGCAGGCCGAGCACCGGCCGGCCGCCGGGTCCCAGAAGTGCGCCGGCGCACAGCGGCCACAGGCGCCCGGGCCGGCGCACTCGTGACAGGCCTCCGGGCAGGGCAGGCACTCGGGCAGGTCGGCCGCCGGGAAGAAGCCCCCCGGGCAGGCATCCATGCAGCGGCCCTGGTGGAGCAGCCGGCCGGAGCCGGCCGGGCAGGCCGTGCACCCGGCCAGGTCCCCGGGCACCGAGCACTCGGCGCAGGACCCGTCGCAGGGCAGGCACTGGCCGGCCTCCGGGTCGGCCTCGGGATGCAGGGCGGCCCCCGGCACGCAGGCCCGGCACACCGCCCGGTAAACGAGCCCCGCCGGGTCCAGGGCCGCATCGCACTCCTGGCAGAGGGGCTCGCAGGCGCAGGTCGACGACCCGGGCACCGGCAGGGCCGGCCGGTCGCAGGCGGCCAGACACCGGCCCGGCGCCTCGGCCAGCTGGGCCCGGCAGACGGTGCAGTCCTCCGGGCCGGGGCCCGTGCACCGGGCGCACCCGGGCCCGCAGGGCAGGCACCCCGGCGCGTAGTGCCCCTCCGGGCAGGGGTCCAGCGCCAGCGACAGGACCAGCGGCAGCGGCAGCCCGGCCGCCGCCAGGACAATGGCCGAGGCCGGCCGGTGCTCCGGGTCGTCGAAGGCCCAGTCGTGCGCCACGGCCAGCAGCGACACGCGGTCCAGCGGCCCGGCCAGCGGCCCGGGCAGCCGGAAGAACCGGGCCGGCTGCGGCCAGCACACCCGGTCCGGGCTCGAGTCGCAGCGAACCAGCGCCACGCCCACATGCTCCGGGGTCAGCAGGAACAGGGCCGCCGGGGTGCCCTCGGACCAGGGCAGGCTGACGGCCAGGGTCCGGTGGGCCGGGACCTGGCCCAGGCTGCCTGCCGGCCCGCCGGCCGCCGGCACATGGCCCAGCAGCTCGACATTCACCGGCAGGCCGGCGGCCCGGCCGGCCCGGTGGGCCCCGAGCGGCGGCTGCATGACCACCCACCGGGCCGGGGCCCCGGCCGGCACGCCGGCCACCAGCCCGGACAGCATCAGCTCCCCGGTGGCCGGGGGGTCCGAGGCGGAGCCCCAGGCGGGCCGGACGTCCGGCACCAGCACCGGGGCCAGCGGCCCGAGCCCGAGCCCGGCCGACGCCCCGCCCAGCCGCAGAGCCGGCAGATGCTCGGCCGCCAGGACACGCGAGTCGCGCGCCAGCAGCAGCTCCACCGGGTAGGCCGCCCCGCCGGGGGGCCCGGCTCCCGGGACAAACCCCCGGAAGAGCCACTCCCCGGCCTCCGGGGCATCCGGCCCGGGCCGCATGCCCGGCAGCAGGGCCGGCAGGGCCGGCGCCCGGGGCAGGCTGGCCTGGCGCATGGCTCCGGATTCCAAGCTGACCTGCAGCAGGAGCACCTGCTCATTGGCCAGGCGCACGGCCACCAGCCCCGGCGCCAGGGGGGCCACCTCCAGGCAGCCGGCCGCCGTGGCGATGAGCTCCGTCTGGGCCGCGGCCGAGGCCAGGGCGCATGGCTGCTCGGCCGAGTCGGCCGGGCACACCACCGTGGTCATGTGGAGCGTGCCATCGCCGGCGCAGGTCACCAGCCGGGTGGTGGGCCGCCGGTCATCGTCCTCCACCATGGGCAGCTCGACGACCGAGGCTGCGCCCAGTCCCGAGGGCAGGGGCCCGATGCAGGGCATCTCCTGGACCAGCAGCGCGCCCGGCTGCTCGGGGTCGGGCCGGACCCACAGGGGCCGGGCCCCGCCGGTGGGCAGGGCCACCGCGTTGCCGGAAAACTGCACATCCGCCATGGTGGCCGGGTAGAGCATGCACTGGCCATTGTCGATGTGCATGCGCGAGGGGAAGACCACCGGGATGGCCGGCTGCTGGGGGTCCGCCGGCACCAGGGGCCGCATGCTGGTGATGGCGGCCACCGGCGGCGGCGGGGCCCCCGGCGGGGGCTGGCAGCGCGAGGTCCCGGGGGCCGGCTCGGCTCCGGCCGGGCAGGCGGCCACACATGCCCCGGCCCCGAGCCCCGGCCCGGTCAGCAGGAGGAGCCCCTCCTGGCAGGCAAGGCAGCCGGTGGCATTGCAGGTGGCGCACCCGGTGCCCGGGCAGTTGGTGCAGTCTGAGCGTGGTGGCGGTGTTCCGGGGGGAGGGGCGGGGCAGGGAGGAAGAAGAGCGCGAAAGAAGAAAAGAGAATCAGAGGATGAGAGGATGAGAGGATGTGAGAATAAAGTGATGCGAGAATAAAGTGATCCGAGAATAAAGTGATGCGAGAATAAGGTGATGAGAAAAGAAAGTCATGGGAGAAGAAAGTGAGAAGGACAAGGGAAGTGCCAGACCGGATGGCGCGGCGGGCAGGCATGATGCTCAGAGGCAGCACGCCGGGCAACACGCGGGCAGGCGACGCCAAGCACAGACCACGCACCGGTGTCCATCATGAAGGCCCCATCGGCACAGCCGCTGCACAGGGCCCCGGGCACGTGCAGCGGCGACAGGCCGCGCCTCGGGGCGCAGGCGAACCCCCCCGGCGGCGGGGCAGCCCCATTGAGCGAGGGGCACACAATGGTCGAGTCCGCTTGACAGAAGAGGCTGTCCACCAGGAGCAGCACCCGGCCATCGGTCAGGGACCAGGTGGAATCGCCGGGGCCGGTGGCCGCCTGGAAGAGCCGCAGCTGGCCGGCCGCCGGACTGCCCGGAGGCAGGGCCATCAGGCGCAGGGGATTCGCCATGCCCTGGACAAGGCTCATGGTGAAGAGGCGCTCGGAGTGGCCATCGCGCAGGACCACCCACTCGACCAGGCGACCCGGGTCCAGGAAGTTCCGCGGGGTGTCATGGATGCGAAGCTGGGCCCCGGGCCCCAGGTACACGACGCTCTTCCGATCTCAGGGGATTCGCCATGCCCTGGACAAGGCTCATGGTGAAGAGGCGCTCGGAGTGGCCATCGCGCAGGACCACCCACTCGACCAGGCGACCCGGGTCCAGGAAGTTCCGCGGGGTGTCATGGATGCGAAGCTGGGCCCCGGGCCCCAGGGCCCCGGGGTCCAGGGCCTGCCACTCACTCAGGCAGTTGGTCCCCTGGAGTGTCGAGCACACGCGGATGGCCCCGGTGTCCAGGACCAGGACCAGGCCCTCCGGCTGGTTGGACACCAGCGGCAGGGACACCACATCGACCAGGCCCCCGGGCAGGTCGGCGCGCCAGGCGGCCGGGACTTGTCCATCGGCATAGTCCACATGCGCGAACCAGTTGCCGGCGCCGTGCCACACGAGCACCAGGCCGTCCGGGTGGAAGGCGGCCCCGGGGGCCGGGCCGCCGGTCGGCAGGCTCAGCGGGAAGGCCTTCCAGCCGGGCGCGGCGCCCAGCTGCAGGAGCTCCAGCTGCCCGGCCCCCGGGCGGTGGAACAGCACATTCATGCGCCCGGGCCCGGGGACCATGTGCGCCAGGTAGGTGGCCGGCCCGGCGCCGGCCGACTCCGGCCTGGCCTGCACGCACGACCATTGGTGATTGAGGAAGAGGCAGAACTCGCCGTCGGCCAGGGCCGCCAGTTCGGGCCCGGCCGGGGCCTCGGCCAGCAGCAAGCGCCAGGGCCCGGGGGCCGGGTCCAAGGGGCCTCCCAGCGCCACCGGCGCGTCCTCCTGGAGCAGGGCCCCGACACGCGGGTCGTCATGCAGGTTGAAGTGCAGGGCGGACTGCTGGAAGAGCAGCACCTCGCCGGTGGGCTGCAGGGCCGCCAGCTGGCTTCGCGCCCCGCCGAGGGTGAGGCTGAAGAAGCCGACGGCCGTCTCGACGTCCGCCAGATCGGAAGAGCACACGTCCTGGAGCAGGGCCCCGACACGCGGGTCGTCATGCAGGTTGAAGTGCAGGGCGGACTGCTGGAAGAGCAGCACCTCGCCGGTGGGCTGCAGGGCCGCCAGCTGGCTTCGCGCCCCGCCGAGGGTGAGGCTGAAGAAGCCGACGGCCGTCTCGACGTCCGCCCGGCTGAACAGGGGCGCCGGGGCCTGGCAGAAGCCCACGGCCGGGGGGTCTGTGTACAGGGCCCGGGCGTTGGCCACATGGCCGTGCGTGGCCGGGGCCAACAACAGCAGCAGCAGCGGCAGCAGCAGCGGCAGCAGCAGCGGCAGCAGCAGCGGCAGCAGCAGAGGCAGCTGCCGAAACCACGGTATGCAATGTCGACCCATGGGGGATGGTCGAGTCAGGCGCCGGGGGGGGGGGGGGGGGGGGGGGGGGGGGGGGGGGGGGGGGGGGGGGGGGGGGGGGGGGGGGGGGGGGGGGGGCCGAGTGTGGCGCAGATCGCAGGGGATGCGGCGGCAGACGGCGTGGCGGAGAGGCGAGCGGCGAGGGGAAGGAGGAGGAGCAGGAGGGGGCCGTGTCTGGCCGCGACGCGTGGCGGCCATCCGCCAAGGGGCCCCGGCCGAAAAGGCGTGAAATTCCGGCTCATTCATGCGCCGGCCGCCGCGTTCGTGCGCGCGCAAGACTAAACCCCGGGCCGGCGGGGATTGGCAAGGCCGGTTGGCTGTGTCATCTTGCAGGGGCGCGTGCGGGGCGCGGTGGCCGGCGGACTCGCCGGCGGATGTTGCGCATGCCCCGGCCCCGGGGTCGCCGGCCGGTCGGGCCCTGGTCGTGCTGGCCCGGGACTCGGCGGCGGCGGCGGCGGCGGCGGCGGCGGCAAGGGCACGGCAGGGCCCCGCAGGACGCGTCAGCAAGCGGGCACCCAGCCGGCGCGTGCCCGGGCCCCCGATGTGTGCTTTGCGGCATGCGTGCCCCGAGCCCCATGTGCCCGGTTGGTGTTCCGCCACAGGCGCACCCTGCCCGTGTTTGATGAGGTGTCGTTCGGTATCGCAGGCCCCTTGGCCCCCTGCTTGGCTTCGGGCCTTGACACTACAGGACCAGGAAACAACAGGGCCCGAGGGCGCGCGCGCACGTCGGGGCCGGACCAAATCGCGTGCCGGCCCAGTCGCGCCCGGGCCCAGGCCATGCCGGCCGCGGGAAAAATCCCCCCCGTGAAAGAAATCCGGACGCGGGTGGACGCAGGCGCGTGCATGCCCCGACCATGGGGCGCACACGCTGCCTCCGGGAAAAGGGGCGCGGCCTCGGCGGGCAGGGGAGGCAAAAAGAAAACAAACGGACGACCAACGGCGGGCAATCACGCGCGGGAGGAGGCCCGCATTAACTGCCTCGGCGCCGGTCACGCGGGGGGGCCGGGCTTAACCGGCCGCGGGTGTGGCTGGCGGCCGTTTGGTCGACCTCCGGGGCCGGGGACCGGACAATGGCCACGCAAGGGAAAGGCCATGTGCGGCTGTCCGCACCGACGCCGGGACACGCCGTTCGAGGGTGTCGGCGCCCTCCGGGACGGCGACCGGCAGCGGCAATGGCGGCGGCTCGAATAATGTGCATTTTTTATGTTCCATATGCTTGGATATTTTTTTATTATTCCCCCTCATGTCAGTGCGCGTGGTGTCCCGGGGTTCCAAAAGACCAGGGCGCGCTGGGGGGGAAGCCAACGGACGGCGCGGTCGCCGGGAAAAGCCGGCCAATGAAAAATGCCCAAGCAGCGCAAGCCCCCAGTCCGAATGATGTAGATGGTTATCATATCTGTCTAACACACAGAATGTCCCAGGTTCGAGTCCTGGTTCGGACAGCGCTTTCTTTTGCCCGGGGGGGACCGCGGGTAGCTCTGCGTCCGTGTCTGTGCACCTGGAAAAGGACCAGGCTGCGGTGCGCATCCGCCCGCGGGGGTGCGTGCATCCCCGCGCAGCGACCTCCGGGGGTGTCTGGATGCCCCCCACCCCGGTGGAGAGGGACCGCGCGGCAACAAACAGAGAGAGCCACCCCGGAAGAAGGCGCCCCGGGCAGGGAGGGGAGAAAGGCCCAACCCACACCCCGGCGGGCGGGGGGGGGATGTATTTGTAAAAACAACGTCAGGGGGGGCGTGGCCGTGCAGCGGCGCGCCACGGCCGAGGCGCACTTTTGCCGGAAGACAACGGCCGAGGGCCGGCTGGCCGGGTCGGCCGCCCAGGTCACCGACAGGAGAGGCCCGCCAGCAGCTGGGGCCCGGGCCCGGGGGGCGGCGCCGCCAGAGATGGCCGTCGGCCGGCCTCCACCGCCCGAAGGAGGTCCTCCATGCTCGGGCCCCTGCCACGGCCGAGGGGGCGGGGGGCGAGAGATGCTTGGCGTGTGTTAGTTGGGTTGCGGGGGGGGGGGGCATCGTGCTCCGCGAAGGCGCCCGCCGGACGGGCGCGCACGCAGGCCGCCCCGCCCAGCAGGAGGAGCCCGCCCTTGCACCGGGTGCAGGAGGCCACCCTCGGGCAGGACAGCCGCCCGTCGGGGCCGAGCGTGCAGCCATGCCCCCCCTCGCTCTCCTGGGGGGGGGGGGGAGGAGCGGGGGCCTCGCACTGGCCGCAGTCGGCCGGGCAGGCAGGGCAGTACCCCCCGGCCGGGGGGAAGCCCCCCCCCCCCCCCCCGAGCACGAGGCCGCGCAGGTGGACTCCTCAATGGGCAGCACCCCGGAGTGGCAGGATGTGCATGTGTCCCCGCGCCCGGAGCAGGTCCGGCAGTCGGCCTCGCAGGGCATGCAGGCCCCGCTCGCCGGGTCGGCGAGCCGCCCGGCGGGACAGGAAAGGTGGCAGGCCCCCTCCCACAGGAGGTGGCCGTACGCGCAGACGGTACATACGGGCGCGCAGTCGCCGCCGGCCGCGCATGCGGCGCAGTGCTCCGGGCAGGCGACGCAGCGGCCGGCGGCGGCGCAGCCTGCCCACCCGGCCGGGCAGGTCCCGGGACGCAGCCCGCCCGGCTGGGCCAGGGTCTCCGCCGGGCAGCCGGTGCAGGCGTCCGCCCGGTCACACGTCTGGCAGGAGCCGTGGCAGGCCTGGCAGATGCCCTCCTGGGCAAACAGCCCGGCCGGGCAGCCGCCCAGGCAGACCCCACCCGACAGGACCCTGCCATCGGGGCAGGCAGTGCACTGGTTGAGGTCGGGCCCGACGCGCCGGGCGCAGGTGCCACCCACCAGCAGCGGGGACGCCGGGCTGCAGGTGAGGCAGTGCCCCGGGCGCCGGGCCGAAGCATGTGGCGCACGAGGCGTGGCAGTTGGCGCACAGCCCGCCCTGGGCTACCGAGGAGGGCGGGCAGCCGGTCACGCAGCTTGGTGCGTCCAGCAGCCAGCCCCGCTCGCACAGGGCGCAGGTGCCCGCCTGCTCCGGGCAGCCGGCGCAGTGTGCTCCGCAGGGGGCGCACCCGGCCGCCGAGGTGTGGTAGCCCACTGGGCAGGCCGGCACACAGCACATGGGCGGCTGCCCGGCCGGCAGCGGCAGCAGCCCCCCGGGGCAGGCGGTGCACTCGGTCGATCGGACCCCGGCGCACTCGGCGCAGGAGACATGGCACGGCAGGCACCGGTCGGCCACGGCCACATGCCTGGCGGCGCAGGCCTGCACGCAGTCGCCGCCCTGCAGGACGCCGGAGGCACACCGCCAGCAGTCCTTGTCCGTGGGGCCG